AAGAAGAAGAAATGAAAGGAAGGAAGGAGAGAGGAAGGAAGCGGGGAGGACAAGAGAGAAGAAAATACAGGGCTTTTTTTTTTTTTTTTTATCATCAATGGACTTCTAGTGATGAGAAATTTAAGGATGTTCCCACATTCTCAAGTGTGTCAGGCCCAGTAACAGCTCCGAACTGTCTGCGGTGATAGCACAGAATTGGGAGACAGTCAAGTCCAAGATGTGAGCTGGCCTCCCCCGACTTCATGGGATACGACTGAAGACCTGAGCCCGTCTGACCTCTCAGTTCATCTTGCTGCCCGTGTGATCAAGAGACTATGAAATGTCAATATTTCAGGGCCAAGGACTTTTTATTTTTCAAAATTTCACCTCTAAACAAAAGCAGGCCGTATGTGTGTGTTTGTCACAGAGAAAGAAATTGATAATGTGCGCTCATCTTTTCAAATTGCAATCCTAGGCATGCAAGAATGAGGACTTTGCAGTGAGTCATTGATGCGCCAGCCCCTCAGCAACTGCAAGGAGCAGGGAGATGCCTCAATGGCACTTGCAACCAGCTTCCTCCCTTCCCTCGTAAATACAGCTAAGAAATGCTGTCACATTGCATCAGTATTGCATATGTCAACATAAGAGAGACAAAAAGATAACAACCAGCCCCACCCCACTCGAAAGAGAATATAGGGTTGCACTGAGCTGCTTCCGGGAACTTTCTTTACCATCTTCATGGTTCTGGGATGGTGGCTCCAAAAATGGAAATGAAATCCAGTCCCTGCTTCCTGGAGGCTTCCTCAGTGCTCCTGCTCGGGGTCTGGACATCCCTGCAGGACTCCCACCCTGAAGAGGCAAGAGGGAGGCCGCTCCTCAGATTCATACAAAGGTCTCTGTTCTGCATCTTTTCAGCCCTAACATGCTATCATCATCACACTTGCTTATTACCCGACCTACTCCCTCCTTCAAAGGCTCTCAGAAAACAGGGAACTTGGAAGCCTCTTTCCAAGCTTTGTTCTAACATTAACTATACTTGCTATGTATCAGACACTGTATTAAGTATACTTTTTCATTTAATCTTCACAACATTGAAAGGTAGATATTATTAACCCCATTTTAGAGATCAGTAAACTGAAGCTTAGAAAAGTCAAATAATTTGCTGGTAAGAGTCTTGATGTCTGTCCTTCCATAATCCACACCTTTAACCACTTTTCCATATTCGGAGGAAGAGCCAGCACAGTGGGTGAGAAGGCGGCACGGCTTTGCGGTCAGAAACCCTGTCATCCCTGAGTTCGTGATCTCAGATGACCACTTGACCTTTCCAAGGCTTTGTCACTTCGACTTCAATGTGGGAATAATAATTTCTAGCCTGCCTTGCTCCCAAAATTGAAGACAGTATTGGCACCTGTCGGTGGGTGCCAGGAAGTCCATTTCTCACGGACAAACTTCTTTGTCCATCTGTTCAAGGTCGGGAAGGGGAAGCGAGGTGGCAGAAGAGTTGCAGGAAAGGTGGTCTAAAACTAAGTTTAGAAGTTACAGGTCATCTTAAATTTTGAACTTGCCTTTGTGTAAATGTATGTGGAAACATGGACTCTGATGTTTGAAAATGAATTCTACTACTATTAAATTTATCTAGACATGAAATGAACCAAAATAGACAACTACATAGTATGTGCTCAATAAAGAACTAAAGGGAGGGCAGAAGGCAGGCAGGCAGTAGGCAGACAAAACCGGCATTTCCTCTGGATTTCTCTTAGTCTGTTGTATTTCATTTCCTATGCATATAACTAATTGGTTCTCTGAGTCTCTATCAAATTAATTTAGCCAATGTTATTTAATTTCACTCTGTCATTAGCAACAATAAAGAAACGAAAGGCAGCACAGTGACAAATATTCTTAGCCAGATCATAATATGCTATAGTTTGAACAGCCCTATGATTTTTCTCAACTGAGGCATCTCGCTAGGATGGGCCTATTTTCTTGAAATTTCAAATTGCGTAATTGAAGCAACACTCATAGAGACCACACACACACATACACACACACACACACACAGAGCTGAACTACAAATGAAGCTGCCAATAGTAGCTAACAAAATCCCAGTGCACGTGTTTATTCCTACGGCCATCAGTTAACACAATGCTGATGCAGAAAGAGATCCCTAACAGCCTGCTAGTGAGGACTTTGGGGAACTCTTGGAAGAAACACACACAGAGATCAAGAGGTGAAAATGAATTTATGGTGGTTGGTTAAAAGCAATGTTTGAAAGAAGAAAACAAAAGATGGTAAGTAATAACCGGAGGGGGGCCCCTAACCACACAGTGGCATGTGGCTGGATATAGAAAATGAAAGAGTCGTCTTCCCACACAAAACACACTTGTGGCTGAAGCTCTGCAACATAATCACAAAATTAACCCATTTTTCTCCACTCTCGAAATTGTTAAAAAGAACAAAGATGCCAATAGAGATCAGTTTGAAACTTTTTTAACATTAGGACATAGCACATACTCTCTGTCTAGAGGACCAGCTGTAATGAAAGCCACCATTAGAAGGCTGGCATTTCTGTTCAACCATATGGCATCATCATTCCAGTGCCTGAATTTGCAATGACTCAGAATGCAAACTCACCCGGAACCTCGGGCCCCTTCCTCCAGTTCCCCAGCACTGTAAGGACAAGAGGCTGACCCTGGATGGGGACAAAGGGAGCAGGAGGAAGACCAGAGCGTTTCTCCCGTCATTCCAATAAGCCTCTTTACACCCTTCCCCTCCCAACCCCAGGTGCCCCAAGAGATTCCACCAACTGGTCTCAGATGTGCACAAAAGTTAAACTTCTAGGAAAGACCTAGAATTAATTTCACATAGAAGCAGAGGGGCTGGGTGGGATCTGAGAGGTCGCTCCTCACCTGTTCTAACCCAATCCTGTTAAAGTTGCTCATCACAGCACAATGTTCAGATACAAAGATGTTTCCCCCCAGAGTCAGAGGGCTTTAAGTGAAAAGCATCACACTGTTGGAAGATTATTCATTTCTGATTGAGACAGCATTTGGAATATCAAACGCTAGGCACAAAATCAGAGCCTATTAATACTTATCAAAAGATTTAATTAACCCTACCCAAAAGAAGCAGATGGAGCCTGAAAGAGTATCACGCCCCATAATAACCAGGATATCAGAAGCACAAAGAACTCCCAATAAATATACTGCTTTTTTGTTAAATTTGGGCGGGGGGGGGGGGGGGAGAATCAAGTAGCTACAATATTCATTGAGCATAAGGTACCAAGAATTACATAAGAAGCTGCATTGCAAATGTTGGGCCCAATAAGAGCAATTGAAATTGATTCTGGAATGTGGTTAAACTACTTTGTCTAATACTATTAGTAAATAAGATCTTTCATTAGCTGGCAGGAAGATAGTTGCAACTGGCCAATCTGATTTTCCTGAAAATGGGGAAGACCTGTGTGCACTTTTTCCCAGATAAAAACTCTAAATTCCCAAGGTATTGTTTCTGGAATCCAAAGTTACCACGCAGCGTCATACTTTTCCTCAACAGGCCTAAAGTCTCCTTTCACCTGTTCCCCAATATTTGGCGGGAAGGGGAAAGACTTTGTTTGGAACATTTTTTATGGAAACTTTTTTAAAAGTGAAGACTTTAGAAACTTCATGGTAAATCAGAAATTGTTGATCAAGAGGGAAAACCTAAAGGAAAACGAAAAATGAAATTATCTTTCCAGGCCACATTGGGTGGTGGCCTACACTTTGAAACCTAAAATAACCAAGATTCTTCATCATCCAGCGAAGGTATGTAGAAGATACGGTAAACTGAGCTTAAGATGCTCTACAGCTTGTGAGCAAGAAAAAGAGGCGATTCTATTTCTCCCTGACTCTGGAATCTGCCTATCCCCCTTCCGACAGAAAGCTACATCGGGGCTGGTTTGCTAGTCTCCAAACTCAAAAGAGACAGCGCCAAGAATCAGTCACCTGCGAGGAGCCACCCAACCCCCGGAAACAGCAAGGCCGGCACACCTCACAAGGGTCCCCTCTCCTCACAAGGGTCCCCGCTCCTCTACGCCCACAGCCCGACCCAGAACTGCATTATCTCTGGGGACCGAAAAGCAAACAGACCTTTCCAAGAAAAAGAAGGAGAGCGGGGGTCTATTATATAACAATAGTAGATAAGGCTTCCAGAAAACGAAAGTAGCGAGAGCAGGGCCAGGGGTCGGGGGAGGCGGGGGGAGCCCGGCGTCGGGGAGCTTTCGCCGCCACTTACTCGAAGGCGAAGAAGAGTCCGCTAGTGACGAGGATGAGGATGAGAGTCAGGTAGAAGACGCCCGTCTGCCGGGCCATCATGATCCTCCCGTTGCAGAAGAACTTGTTTCTTCCCGGGAAAACCTCCCATTTCCTCCGGGCCGCGATTTTCTTCTTCTTGTGGGGCGACTCCATGGGGGAGGAGCTGTGGGTGCTGATCTGACTGTACTCGCAGTCTTTCATGGGCCCGCCGCCGCCGGGAGGCATCCACGAGGGCAGCCGGCTGGGGGCGCACACCCCCAGAAGCCCCCCGGCCGTGCGGGTCCCGCCGAGCCACGACCGCCGCCGGCCGCCCGGCCGCCCCCCGAGCCTTGGCGCCGCGGCCACTAAGCGGGCTCCTGGGTCGGCGACAACTTTGCCGAGGACCCCCAGGTTAACCCTTTGGGGAGCCCAGCTGTCATAGCCCGATCCCCTTCCTAGAGGGACGGTGCTTGCCCGCAGCCCGCGGCGCCGGTCTTCAGTCGCTTCCAGCCCGTGTGCCGGGGCTCCGGGGCCCCGCGGGGCGCAGGGGGCCGCCCGGCCGCCCCCCGGCTCGCCGCGCGCCCGCCCCCTCGCACAGCGGCTCGATCGGCCCCGCCGACCCCCGAGAGCTGCGCCCCGAGGGGACACGAGGCGGCGGCCCCGGCGCCGGCTTCCTCTGGAACCACTTCTGCGCCTCGGCCAGGTTTATTCTAATCCTTCCTCCGGGCGCCGGATCCTCCCCAGGAGAGAGCGATGGAAACTGGGAGGCAGCTCGCGGCCCCGGCAACCCCTCCCAGGGGTGGGGAAACCAAGCACGTTATTCTGTCGGGAGCGGGCTCGGCGACAGCCCGGGCGCTGCGACCCCGCGCCGGCGCGCCTGGCAGCCGAACCGAGTCCGCAGCCCCCGCGCGAGGCTGCCGGGGCCGCCCGGGCCGAGGGGCGCGGGGCGGCTCGCGGGCTGCGCGGCCGGGGGCTCCCCGCTCCCTCCTGCCCCATAGGAGCCAGGCCCGGGCGAGGAGGGCCGCCGGGGGCGGCGGAGCGCGTCTCAGGGCCGCGGGGAGAGCGCCACAGACACTTGTTTGCAAGGCTCAGCCCGGCGCGCGCGCGGCGCTCCGAGCGGGTCCGCCTCCTCCCGGCCGGGTGGGCGGTGGCCCGCGCCTCGCGGGCTGGGCTCCTCCTCCGGCTCCTCCTCCTCGCCGGCGATGCTCGGCAGGGCCCCCGCCCCAGTCCCTTCCCGGCGGGCCCGTGCGGCCCCGGGGAAGGCGCTGGGGTCCTCTGGCATCGCCCGGGGACGGCTCGGGTCGGGCGCCCGCGGCCTCGCCGCGTTGCGCGCTCTCCAACAGACTTCTGTCCGCCTCCCGGTTTCTGCTCCGGGTTTATTCCCGGCAACAGCGGCCGCCTCGGGACACACATTCACACTGCCACCCGCAAACCCATTCTTGCGACTCCCGGGGACCTGAGGAAGCGGCGCGGAGAGGTGACCCTCGCCGCCCTGCCCCTGCTCTTCCTCCCCCAGCGGGGCGCGTGGTCGAGTTGCGAGGGGCTCTACTGCTGTCCGGGAATGGGGTGAGGATGCCCCGGCGACAGGATGGGGAGGGAGGGCACGAGGCAGGCCGAACCCCGGGAGGGGGGCTGCGGGCAGGGGTCTCGGGGCCTGGCCCGGCCGGGTTCCGGGTTTCCCGCGGAGAGGGGAGCGATCTGGGTCTCCCGGCCCCGGCCCCTGCCTCCTTCCCAGAGGACAAGCCTCGTGGCGGCCAGGCTCTGCATGGGTTGCTGCCTCCCTGGCCCTTTCTTCCTACTTCTCCGACACGGGCGCTCACAATTTGCTCGCTTTATTTCTCTCCTGTCCCCTGCGAGCCCCCGCGGCAGCAGGGGGACCGCCCGCGTCTCCCATCCCCACGCCGCCCAACAGTCCGGGCCGACCCGCTCGTGCGCTCGGCCCTGCCATTGCCGCGGGGTCTGAGCCCTCGGGTTGTGGGCGCAGCTGGTGGGCAGACGAAAGCGGAGGTGGCCAGGCGGGGACGCTCGGTTTTCCGAGCCCCACTTTCCTTTCACGGCCCACTGGGATGTGTAGTTCTTCCTCTCGCCTTCCGGCTCGGAGAAGAACCACGACTTGGGGACCAAAAAACTGCAAATCCCTGCATTCCTTGCGGCAAGCGCGGGAGAGGCGCGGTGCTGGGCGTTCGATGCTGGGTGATCGGGGATGGGAACTAACAAAGGGAATGGTGGGGATCGGCCGTGCTTTCTCTGTGCTGGGCGCTTTACACCTTGCGCACGTTCTTTATCTAATCTTCCGAACAACCCTGCGAGGCACAGTTGTATCCAGCTTAGAGAACGCTCAGCTACTTGCCAGAGATCACAGAGCGCCCCAGTGGCAGAGAGAGGATTAAACCCAGAGCGCGGAGAATTCCCCTTACAAAGCGCTGCCTGGGTGAGCAATGTCAAGGGAAGAGAGGTTGGTTTATCCAGGAGAGAAAAAGAGCAAGCGGTTGGGAAGAGCTTCCTGGAGTAAGGGGAAAGTGGTGGGGATGGCAATTAGAGTATGATACGAATTTATAAGAGGTTATGAATAAAAATGGAATTTACCAGGGGCCATTCCAAAACAGGTTAGGGGAATGGGTAGGATCTTAAACATACGGTTAGTATCGAGTTCCAATGGTGTTAGGGTATTATGTGACAGATGAGCATATGATAGAGACAGTTAAATACTTTGTGGCTGCACAGTTTTTAAAAAACCTACCGTCAAGCCTCAAACGTTTCAAGTGAAAGCTTTCATATGCTTTCCGATCCTTTACCTGATGGGATCAACGGGATATTCTTTTTCTTTTTTTTTTAAGTCATGCTGGCTTATAACATAAATTTCAGGTGTACGTTGTTATATATCAGTTTATAGACTGTATCATGTTCACCACCAATAGTCTAGCTTTTATCCATCACTGTACATATGTGCCCCTTTACCCCTCTCGCCCTCCGCCCACCCCCTTCTCCTCTGGTAACCACTAATCTGTTATCCATGTGTTTGTTTATCTTCCACATATGAGTGAAATCATACAGTATTTGTCTTTCTCTGTCTGGCTTATTTTGCTTAGCATAATACCATGATTTCTTGTTACAAATGGCACAATTTTGTCTTTTTTATGGCTGAGTAGTATTTCATTGTGTATATATACCACATCATCTTTATCCATTCATCTGGTGATGGGCACTTGGGTTGCTTCCACGTCTTGGCTATTGTGCATAGCCAAGGGGTGCATAAATATATATATTTGATTTATTGCAAGCACCTTTTCTCGGAGTGTCCCGTTAATATACTAGCTCCATAGATGTGATGGCTTTAAAAAAGACTCCCACTCTTGTTCTCACTTAAGACCTACTTTTTCTGGCATCATGGTTATGTTTTTAAAAAGTGCTTCTCTGGTAGAGATACATACTAAAGTATTTGCATGTGCTTCATGATACTCCAGCCCATCCACCCTCAAAAAATGTGAGAGTATAAATGAAATGATATTGGCAAAGTGTTGAAAATTGTTGATGTTGGGTAATATATCTGTATTAGTTATCTGTTGCTGAAAATTACCACAAACGTAGTGGCTTAAATCCACACAGATTTATCTCAGCTTCTGTGGATCAGGTGTCTAGGCACCTGGGGTCCTCTGCTTAGGGTGTCACACCAGCCATCAAGGTGCCAGCTAGGCTGCATTCTCATCTAGAGGCTCACCTGGAGAAGAATCAGCATCCACACTCACTCAGGTTGCTGGCAGAATTCATTTCCTTGTATGGGACCGAAGACCCTGGCTTTTTGCTAGCTGTCAACTGGGGACTGCCCTCAGCTCCTAGAGGGCACCTGAAGTTCATTGTCATGGGGGCTTTCCAAACACCACCACTTAGTTCATCAAACCAGCAAGGAGACCCCCCCCCCCCCCAGAGTGAGTCTGCTAGCAAGTTGGATTGTTATATAACATAAAGTAATCACACAGGAGTGACATCAAATGTTTCATATTCTATTGGTTAAAAAGCAAGTCACAAATTTTGTACACAAAGGGCAGAGGATTATACAAGAATGTGAACAGGAGGATGAGGGACCAGCCTAGGTTCTGTCCACCACAGTGTGCAGGATGGTCCATTATCTTATCTGCCACATCTACTTATGTTTATGTTTGAAATTTTTCATAATAAAAAGAAATGAATCATTTCTTTTAAAATTCTATCTAAATATCCCATTGCAAGTAAGTTTCTAGATAAGCTGATAGGATTGCTTGCCGTTGTCTTATAAGAATTCCTTGTTTCTTCCCACTCCATGTTTACTCAGACCTTATGGCAGTTAATTCACTTAGAATGCATACTTGAAGTTCACTAGAACCTGGAATGACAGCCATGGATTTTAGCTCACCACCTAAAAACTACTCTATAAGGTGCGGTAGAGTTCATTTCTTCGTTCACTCCACAATTCTTTATTTAGGGCCTAGTTTATGCTAAGTACTATTTTAGTGGCAGGGATATAAAAAGATCCAAGATAAAAGTTCACATTTGGAGACTAGAGGGAGAGGTAGAGAGAACAAACGATAAATGCAAATAAAGTGCAAACAATAAAAGCAAATAAATGACTAAAGGATAAGACAATTTCAGAAAGCAATTACAAGAATGAAAAAACAGCAGGGTTGTGGGACGGAGAGACTGGGGTGGGATGAGACACCTCTGTGGAGGAGACAGTTGAGCAGAGAACCAAATTATGAGAAACTGCAAGCGCAAAGGGCTCAAGGCAGATCAAGCCTGGAAAACTCTAGGAGTATAAAGAAAAGACAGCCTGGCTGGAACGGTGTGAGGGACAGGGTGAGTGGTAAGAGCTGAGACTGGGAGGTGGCATGACCATGACTGGTGAGGTGTCTGGAATTGATTCTGCATGCACTGGAAAGTCACTTATCTGTGGCCACCATTGTAGTAAGTGTTGAGGGATCATAAAGAAGAGTAACATACAGTACTTGCCCTCAAGGAAGATACAGATTCCAAACTTTAATGCTAAGAGGACCTCAGCCCATCTAGAATTATAGACCAGGACCCTCATTTTGCATATGAGGAAACTGAGGCCCAGAAAAGCAGTGACCTGCCAAGAATTCCTTAAGAATGCCTCTCTCTATAACAAATAATCCAGAAATGGATCTTGAATTGAGAGAGTGCATTCTGTAATTTAAGGCTTTAGAAAACTGATAACAGATAATTATTTCGCGCCTGTCATGTGCAATATGTGGTAAAGAGGTTGAATATGGCCAAGAAGTTACGATCTAGTTCAGCAAAAAAAGGACACACATGAGAACGTAAATAATGAAAGAAAATAATATAATACAAGTAACTTTTCTGGAGTATCTTCTTATACTTTATTCTAATACTTTATACATCTAGCTCATTAAATCCAGAGGACAACCTGACGAGGAAGGATTATTTATTTCGCAGAGGAGGAAACAAAGTCAGAAAAGTTAAAAGTTGGACCGAGATTTCACAGCTAGTGAGTGATGGAGTCAGAATTCAAGGCCAGCTATGTATGTCTGATTCCAGCTTTTGTATTCCAGCCCACTACACAATGGAAAGAGTATATCGTGTCTCATGAACTGCCAACCGAGGAGAGAAGAGGATCTTGACTTCAGAGGAAAGAGAACTCTCTAAAGCCTAGACTGTAGCAAAGTGGGACCCCAGGACTGAGGATTTGGACAGGCAGAAGAAAAGGGATTAGGATCCCTGGGAAATGGGAATGGTGGGAAAACATACGAGCTTTCTAGTTGGAGTAGAATCCACAAGGATTCAAGAGCAAGTCGTTTCCCCTGGGAGGGGTTTCCAGAAAACCCCTCTACGATAGAGAGAAAGTGAGACGGGGGAGCAAGAAGCGAATAAAACATGCATTTTGAAGCAGGTTACCACTGTGGGCTCTGATCCTCCAGGGAACCTGCCTGCAGTTACCCGACCTGAGGGGTGAGGAAGCTGAACTTTATCCACCAGCCCATCTGTTATCAGTTGAGAGCTCCTTCTGGGAGCAGTAACTCTTTATCTTTTTTACATTTGACCACCCGCCTAAGGCCGCCTACCACAGCCATCACTGCCATGAGCGCTTAGGGCACTGAACTGGCCCTCTTTGATTGTTGGTGGTATCTTTGATTCCAGCCTCCTTTCCCTGTTCTCATCTGACTCGGTGGGTCCGCTGACAACATGGGTTATGTTATTAACAAAATTAGAGCTTTGTTCCTTTCATCTGAGCAGCTCAAAGCATTCCACTAAAACCACCTCGGTAATTCTCAAAATACCTTCAGGCAGCCAAGAGGCAGAATGGTCTCCTCGTCGGTGAAAGGGGAAGACATTCAGGTCCCACGGCATTCTATGATTTATTTACCTTTGGGGCCAGGATCAGTATGCACCCAGTCTGGTCAAAAGGACACGGTCCTAGAAGGGGAAATTTGAAATCATTAGGAAAGGATTTCTTTTGACAGTTCT